ATTATAAATAAAATATTAGTCGCATATTAATTCGATTTTGAGGTCCAAATTCGAAGTTCTATATCTTTAATCGATCGGATCATTAATAAAGTTAATGATCGTGATCTAATTAATGATGACTAGAGACCACCGTGCGTCATAACACGCATGATCGATTGGATCATCCCATCATCGTCATTAGTCCATGTTATTGTGTTTTTATTGACTGGCTTCTGGTTACTTTGATCCAATTTGATTTGATATTTGTAAATCATGCAATAACCGGTTATATTTAAAACATCAATCTATACTTATAGAAAGAGGATAGATCTTATTTCTTTGTATGTTTGAAAGTATGTTAGTAGTGTGTTTTATGTAGATTAATTTGTGTATAGTATGAATACAAAAAATAAACTTATATTTATAGCTAAATCATCTATTATTTAGTTGCATTATCAGCGATTGTTTCTATGATTACAAAAAAAAAACTTATCTCTATAAGTAGAAGTCGAGAAGTGTAGAGAATATCAAACAATAATTAAGACAACTAGAAATTAAATAAAATAATTAATTCAATATTGCAGAATTTCACGACTCTACCGACGTGGAACACTACCTATATTATTCACTGATAATATAGTACATGGCAGGTTAAAAAAAATATTTTTCCGAACTGTGCAAAAAAAAAATACAAAAATATATCTCACAAAAATGCATCTCTTATCTCTCAAAAGACTTCTATCTAATCTAGACCGCAGATTCTGTAGGTGGTCAATAAAGTTGTAAATAAATTAATAACAACGATCTATATTATAAATAGAAGGTAATAAACTTCATTTTTTGTCAATGTTCAGTTGATTGATGCCTGATGGGTTTACTACAAAACTTTGCAGTGTTAGCCTACGGTCCCTCAAGTTAATGGCGTATCATTTGTTACCGTTCAATTGAAAGCCTTTTGGAAGGTTTCCAAGATTTTGTGATATCTACATTTGTTTCTCCATAACTAAAAAATATGAATAATAGAGAATATAGAAAATCAGATATGAGAATTATTATCTGTAGTTATAAATATAACATAATATTTATTCTGTAATTTATCTCAATAAATTACAAATGTTTAGGGACATTTTTTTATTATTTATGGTTCGAATATTTAGCAAATAAAATTTTGTAAAGCTACTATTTAAGATATTACTTTACCAAATAAATTCTTATTTATAATAACAAAAATATATGTGTGACAAATAATTCAGAAATCTCTATCGTTTGTAAACTACCAACACCAATACACCATGATTATTCTTTTAATTTCGGTTGAATATCTGTTAATTTTATCCATTACAGACAAAAAAAGATAGTGGGTGAGAGAGCTCTCAAAAGGAATAAGTTTTCCTTCTTTGTATTTTTTAGTAATGCTCTGCTGTTATTTATTCATAGTGTAATGTTAAATAGCCTCCTCTGTACATGGAGTATCCAACAGTCAAAAAATTTATAAAATCGAACAAATATTCATCAAATTAGAGCGTTCAAACAAACGAGCAAATTCTTCAGCTTCATAATAATAGAAAGCCGATATCTTGATGTCAAAAACCCATGATAGTTAATAAAGGAAACACTATAAATACTTAAGTCTCCGATGACTAGATATCTATAATTCTCAATTTACGTCCAACGCTTCCGTTCCGATGCGCCGGCGCACCTGAGCCGCCGGTTACATTATCGACGCCACTCAATTATGCAGATAACTCGGTGTTCGGTTACTCCCATTACGCGACCGGTGGTCTAACATGTGGTTTTTATAAATTTCTAGTAATACTAATGTTATAAAAAGCTAAAGACATTACAATATTCACATAAACTACATAGAACAATATCAAACACTAAAATTATATTGGGACTGGCATCTAGGGTGTACAATAACCTACCAATTATATAAATAAATGAGGTGAATGTATTTAAAAATAGACTTTTGACCTCCTAGTTAGTAAAACATACTACACATATGGGTGTAGACTCAATAACTCCATCACGTAGTGAAATGGACTTCCGCAAAATAACACCTAATTCGATTTAATAGAATGTAATATTTACTTATATAATTATTATATAGAACCTTTTTAATAGTCAATTTAAATTGTATCTTAATTATATTTTAAAATTTTTAATAGATTGATAGAATACTTCATATTTTGTATTAGCTGTACACGCGACTTTGTCCGCGTGGAATTTAACTTTATTTTTCTAAAATAAAGGTAGCCTAAATTACATCAGCTACCTGCCAATAAAAGTCCCGTCAAAATCAGTCCAGCCATTTCAGAGATTAGCCGGAACCTACAGACAGACAAACAAAAATTAATATTATTTTGGTGTATGTACCGTATTTATGTTCATATGCATGCAGTAAAAAACGGTTATTTCAATATTACAAACTGACACTCCAATTTTATTTATATGTATAGATATATACGACCAATTGTTACCTATATATCATAAATTCTATTCTATTTTATCTATTCAATTCTATCATTGGGTACTACTGTAAATTAATTATATTAGTATCAATTATAACTATATTTGCATGCCCTCGTCATCATAATAATATAGAATGTGTCTATTTTTGATTTTTAATTCGTCTACCTACCAAGATACATGTCTTGAACATACAGATATATATTTAGCATATATTTACCTAGTATACCGTACCGACGTAGAGTCCATTCCATAAATTACAAGGGTCAGTGGCTTATAAAATGCTAAAAGCATTATTAGACGTTGTGTGGCCGTAAAACATGTCTCAATATGATAGAGTGAAGTGACAGTCTAATGGAATCCGGTAGTCGGTCTGTCGTGATCATTAATCTCGACACTTGATTAATTCATACAATAGATAAAAAATATTATATGATAATTCAAAAATCTTATACCAACCGAACGACGCTTTCGACGGAAAAAGTTCCTTATTTTTTATTGTAAAAATATATTATATGTCACATCACTATATCATTTTCAAATCGCTACCTAATTTCATATATCTACCTACTATCATATATTTAAACGCAACTACATAGTACATTTAAAAAAACCATGACAAGACAAATTGTTACTAAAAAAACAACTAATCTGAAACCTCTCGCTGACAACACTAATCTCAACTATATAATAAATCATTAATTATAATATCGATAAAGAAAACATCGATAATCCACCTCACTAATGGACTACGACCGTACACTACAGGAAGCCCCTTCCTTTCATTTGTCAATTTGACATTTGACATCAGTCAAGTGGGTTGACTTGATACCTGATTGTCATTTTTTTGTGGGTATTACATTTCAACTTGCGATCGAAACACGGTCCCATTTCTACTGTAATCGTAAAATTTGTATTTATTCGCATGTCTACGTTTATTGCTTTATAAATAAACTAGTATATTGTATTACATATACAAACCTTCCTCTTGAAAAAAAACCGCTTCAAATCCGTTGCGTAATTTTAAATATTTAAGCATACATAGGGACAGACAGACAGCGACAGTGACTTTGTTTTATACTATGTAATGATGATACAATTATAATTATAATTTTATGTTATAAATTTTGTAATCAAATAAGAAATACTCATTTTCTACCAACCGCCTAATGAGATGATTTGACTGTTGTTTGTTCTATAATAGTTCAATGTAAATATTATAACTAATGTTTGTAAGGGCTACGGTAACAACTATTATTTCTGTGAAACAAAATGTACTTGTAGTTACATTCCTAAACCGTAGCGCCTACAAAATAAACATAGCAATAATAAAGAACTGCAACTGATATTTATAAGGTTTTTTGTCAATTGAGACGAGAGAGCAGCTCCTAGCTTGCTTGCTGTTCCTAATAGGAACAGCAAGCAAGCTACTCTCTCGTCCATGCACTAAGAACATCACATCATAGTTCGACGCATGCAGCATCGAATTGTGCTGAAATTTTACCGTAATGTGCCTTATACATCAGAATTACATTTAATAGGTTATAAATTTCACGGAAGTGTAACACAGGCACAGCTAGTTAAATATAGTGTTGAGAAATAAACTGCTTTGATTCTCTTGCACTTCGTTTATAAGATCAATGATTAATAAATTATAGTATTAATTGAATTGATAATATTGAATATTAATTGCTTATCATAACTTATTAAAAATGAATAATTATATCCCTGAAATTACAAACGTAATAAAGCTATGTTTATGCATTTAATTTCTATTTACTGCATGCTAAAGATCCATTATTATTATTATAGTAAGTTATAATAAGTAATTTAAGTAGCCCTATTAAATATTCTAATATTACTTCAATAATTACAATTTATGCTATAAAACATTATAATAATTTCTTGGGTAGATATGTTATATTAATCATTCATTAAACTTTAAACACTTAAAAAATGTCTTCATTGCTATAAGTGCTTTTATCGATATATGACTATTCAAACTGCACTTCACTAGAAGTGAAGTTGTTTCTTTGGCCAGTAGCAAGTAGTGTCGCGATGATAAATATCGATATGGCTTGTTCAGTTCACTTGATAATTTTTCTCAAGACCTCACACTTGTTTTGTATACACCAAATTATACTTTATTTTAAGCGCGACTAAGTGTACATTTCTGTAACATTGTCCTACCACTTGCACGGAGATTTATGGAACTCTCTTGGCGCGTGTTTTATAGTTATTTGATAAAACACTATCGTGATTATTTAGCCTGACTTTGTGACAGCCTGCATATTACAATATCCGAAACATTCCACCACTATTACTCTTAGAAACCTTATCTGCATTTGTAATAAAATATTTATAATAAGCGCTGTTAATTTTCACATAGCTACCAACATACATAGCGTTGACAAATAACCTGTCTATAGTTTATAAAAAGTACCATAATGCATAGCGACCACATCTATTTTCTCTATGGGCTCAATAAAAACGTGTAATAACAAGGCAGTTAACATAACAATCAACTCATTTACTTGTTTTGCATTTTCCAGGTAAAAAATGGCGTTCGCTGACACCGCAAGATAGGAGACCGTTTGTCGAAGAAGCTGAACGGCTTAGAGTCATACACATGACAGAGCATCCTAACTACAAATACAGGCCAAGACGGCGGAAACAGAATAAGACTAGGCCCAACCAGCCAACTACACCTGCAAGTGGACCACCATCAGCATCAGCCGCTTTGGGGTCTCCATACGCGACTGCCGCTGATTCTCCAGATACCCGCTTCTCTCATAACCCTGGTGCAGGATTTTCACCATACCGAACCTCTCCTCTGGCTTCGGATTCTTTCCAAAGCAGCCAATTCAACGGTCACGTCCAAACTCCTGAATCATCCCCGGCAAGGTCTCCAGAACCTCAGGGTAGAAGAAGCGCCCCAGCAGAGGCGCCTCTCCCTACACCAGATGCTTCGCCAGTGGAAAACGAGAAAGAAAACTTTCAATATGAAGAAAGGCGAAGAGCCATAAATGCTTCCTCAATTTCTGACTCGTATTCACCTTATAAAACCTATAGAACGCCGGGTTCCTTCTCGCCAGCTCCTGTTGCGGCCATGGGAATGGCCAATGGAATGTACGTGATGTGTACGCAGAGGAATGCTGCGGAACAGCCACCTCTGGTCACCGGCACCTTCTTTCCGCCCGTCGCGACATCCCAAGATCAACAGGCCTTAGGCACTAGCACTCCTAGGGTGTCTTCTGCTCCAAGTGGCTCCATGCCTTCCGAATACAACATGCAATATCATCCTCATCCTTATGAGCAATACGAACAAATGTATAAAACTGAGGAGTCTTATGTCTCTCATTACCCTGAACAACCTAAAACTGAGTATGATACAGGTAGCTCATACTTCTCAGAGGAACCACCGGCAAATTCGGCTCCGGAGACAGACCCGAACTTCATGAACCAACGACCGGAAATGAGAACCGGCTCGCCAGATTCCGACGTTGATGCCCGTGAGTTTGATAAATATTTGGACTATGGAACCGAGGGTTCTATGGAACAACACCAGCACCAGTATCGATATGAACATCAACAAGGGTATAGGCCTCCATACTGCGCCGAGCAACCTCCCGGGCCGGAATACTGTTCTGATAGGATGTACCCATCGCCTTACGCTTCTGTAATCTCCGGTACGCCAGCGCCCGTAGCATACGCCCCTGCGCCTGCCGGCGCTGATGTCAGGCCTGAAGACGAGTTTAGTGTAATTCTAGCCGGCGTCAGGCAAACTTGCTATAGCAATTGACTAGATAGGAATGATATGGGATGACGTTATTAATCTAGGTGTTCAGATCTTAACAAGAATCATTTTATATATTTTATTTTTATAAATAAATACACTAAATAAACTATTGAGAGACTTCATCAACGTAATAGGACCCAAAACAATTATTGTTAAATTATATTATTTGTGTCGTTAATGTCTTTGCCTTTGTGCACGCAAATCTCAGAAAAAACTTTACTAATATATTATGGTAATCTTTACCTAATTTGTTGTGTTTATTTTATAAATAAATGAAGTATTTTCTCGATTATTTTACCTGTTAAGATCCGACTAACTATATTAGTAATAACTAAACGTTACAATGATATGGGATGAATTTTAAGGACATTTCCTATTATAGCCCAAAGATTACACTGTCTGGATCTTTTAAATATGACACTATTGTTATTATAATACGTTATATGTTTATATTCTAATCTCCAAATATGGTGCATTAATGAATATATAAATTAAGGCGAAAAAAATGGACTGCTCTGATAATGTAATTATTCATTAGATTAGGGCTATATGGTTTCCTATGTAAATATATAATATGATTTATTCGAATAATCAGGAATATTAGTATGTTTTAAATATGATTATTGAGAAGGCTGTTAAATGAAATGTAATTTAAATATGTAATTATTAACAAAATATTGTATTGGTGCTATGTGAGATGGTCCTGACTGCGAAAAATTGTTTCTTAATGTTACACATTATTAATATAGTATATCATGTTTTAACATGGATAATTTTAAGGTAAATAAGGTATTTACCTCTCGGCTTTCGACTAGATCGTACTTGCCAGGGTCATGAGCTGAATGAGCTGACTGAGAGGGAAATAACTTATTTACCATGTATTCATGCTAAAAATAGAAGAACTATTTACAGTGTACATTAAATGTGAAAGTTGAAAATAACTTTTGAATATTACGTCCAAATATATCCGTATACCATAGAGGTAGCGATGTGTAAAAGATTATTTATTTGTAACTATTTTTGTATATTTCGTATTTAAAATTAACAAATGAAATGTCAGTTTAATCGAAATATTAGAACTTCCATTAAGCCTGTAGATATAGTCATGTAAGAATTATTTTTATATGTTATACAGTATAATTTTTAGCTGATGTTATTTGTATAAATTGTATGATCATAGAAATGTGTCTCATAGATTATGTTTGTACTAATAGTTTAAATATTTTAATTTGCATTGCAATTTTAGTTATTTAGTTAAAAACACTCGCACTGCGAAACTAAGTTCTTCCTAATTATAAGAAAATTTATAAGAGCAATAAAAATTATATTCTAAAACATCTTTTGTATTTTATTTCATTAGAACCTTTCTATATATATATATATTTTAAATTTCAACATTGGTGGGCTTCGATATACTAATTTATGACCTGAGATTTAATTGTAGGACTTAGACTTCATAAGCTGAGATCTACTTAAAATCTGATTAACTGGTAAACTTATTTTAGTATTTAAATAGAATCAAAGTTACAAGACAATATATTCTTAGCTTCGATTCCCACTGTCACAAATACGTTTATATAATCGCAAGAGCAAATCCAGTTAAGGTTATTTTTTATTATATGGTACACGTTATAGTGGTTTATAGATAAATAGATAAATTCTTTATTCGCCAATAGACACATATTCATACATGAGTTACAGAAAAATAAAAGAAATAGAGGTGTCTGTAGGTGCTAGTTTTGTTCGTAATACTTTGTTATACAGATTGTAGACGACGCACTACGTTATCAAAATATTGTATATCTTTTTTTTTATATAGTTAATTTTATTATTATATGTACGTACATGTACATAAATATACACGATACGTTCGTTCTTTGTCATTTTTTAATAAATACATATGAGGCACAATGTAATTAATATAAATCTCCCCTTTTACTACACAATATTGTAGTCGGATTCGGACGATCGCGGTGACGCTCGGTGTCACATATAAAATAAGTGCGTGCTCTCAGTTTGCGAAAATAAGTCGGTGTTTTAGTTCCATCCTTTACACAGATTATGTATAAAAGGACTCTTATGAAATAAATAGGTACAATGGCGGAGTTATCCCAAAAGGTACAATAAATAAACCCGTCACAATGTATATTGTCTTGTTTATGGGAACAAGTGACAACTGGGGGGTAGAGATTACTAGTAGTGAGAACAGTAGCCCCATTACTAGCAATATACCATGTCAGATCGACCTCCACGATGACCCCATGGAAAGCACCGTGGTCAGTTTCTGGTAAATTCGCCACGATGAGCAAACTGACTTGACTTCACGTCATCCTTCAGTGGTACCCCGCCAGCGTATATCGTTAGCGCAGGCGTGTGAACCATACCATTATCATGTCTGAAAAAAAAGAACAAGGAACAGCCTGACAACTATTTTGCCATTACAACTCATTTAAGATACAGCTAAATTATAAACATGTAACTATAATAAATTGATGGCCCACCTGATGGAATGGTAACCTTCGTAGGTCATAATTACATATATGAACAGTATTATATTACAAAAGAATAAACATAGTGCGACGTTAGTAACACATCTAATCCGTTATCATTCTGGAGCACTAAGATTACGCCTTGTATTCTACACTATCTCACCCTACAACAGAATCAAAGCTTCCAAAACACACTGAATTGCTACTTAGCGGCAAGGTATATTAAGAAAAGCCGATGCTCTTTCCATAGCTAATTGCGTATAAACACATATGTTTCAAGGACCCATTAATATATTAGCTGTGACCCACGACATAGTCCGCGTGGGATTAAACTTAAATTATGACATAAATATAATTTTTAAAATAAAATTGCCTAAATTACCACTTATATTAGCTATATGCGAGTGAAAGTCCCGTCAGCAGAAAAGCTGTCGAAAGCAGTTTGAAAGATTAGCAAGAACAAACACACATTTCAATTTTATTTACTATTATTATACATGTTACAAATTCAATGTAATTTCATAACATGCAGTAATATGGTTATGCCAGTTAATTTAATCTTTTTTATCTACCTGAAAATAAATCCTTTTAAAAGAATCACAAATTGAAAAATCTCTACTACCTCTACCACCATCTCGTATTTCGAAATAAAATTATTTGTTGAAGATTGAAAAACAACCTACCTATAATCCTCATACATCTATTATAAATTGTTAAGTAATATTTTGAAGTATACTGCCTTCTAACATCTTCAATTCAATCAGCAAATTTTAGAATTTTTTTTTCATATAATTTGATTGTATTCTTGCTATAGGCTCCATTGATGGTAAGTAGTAACTACAATCTAAATACACTACGGACATCACGTTATAATGTGTGCCCTCCAAACGATTAAGATATCATGCCTCTTACCCTGTAATTTCGCTGCCTTATCTCAGCTAAACCACTGCGTACCGTCTGAAATAGTTGAGACTGACAACTTTTTATAAAATCTACTACCCCGGTTCAATAAAGATATAGAATGAATATTTAAATTTACCAATAAATTATAATTATTACAATAATAAAATCCCATACCACACGCAATTGCCAAATACAGCATACAGTTTATGCAAAAAGAGAAATGATTACAAACGCCCACAACGAAAAGGATTATAAGTCCAAATAAAATTAAAATTACTAAATAATTTGCGCGCTCGCAGGGCAGGGGCGCGCATACATCGGCCCGAGGGCCCGCGCGCCTGTAATTACCATTGCGGCCCGCCCGAGCACGCCTCTACCCTGCGCCTCTATCGATATTGATGTATTGACGTTTTTAACAAAAACAGATATACGCAAGAAACGTCGTTTTTAAAAATTGCACTTACATGGAATTTTTTCAATTGGCAATTTAAGAATGCATTCAAAGTCATCACTAATATTACTGCATTTATTTCACTTGTTTCGTTGTATTTTTTATTATTCAGTTATTTTATAATATTAAAAAATGGTAAATATAAAAATATAACATCTATGAATTAGTATACAATTATAGGGAGATTTTTCGTTCCCAATCATTTTCAGTAACAAGTTGACAGGCTATAAAACGGATACGTAAAATAAAATAAAAATATTTAATTAATAATTAATAATTAATTATAAACCTGAAAATCATTATTTTTGATACGTGAAACAAAAACTTTATACCCATTTTTAAAAAATTGTGCAGACGAAGGAGTATAAAATTTCGCACACTTATGTTATATACTTAGTTTTGTATAGAGGACTGCAGAATGCTAATTATATTTTTTTAATTATGCATAAAATACATTAATCCTATAAAAAAGACATTACATACACTACCTTATATTTGAAACACATATGCATATATATAGGTACTCTTTTGTTATTTGGTAAAGTCAGTGGTCAAATTGAGAATTATATGATGATATATGAGATTAATATTTGTCTTTGATATGATTGTCTATAGTCTTACTGAATATTAAATTAATATCTGTAATTAAACAATAACAATTGTTTATTTAAAAACCGTTCAATAATATTCAAATATAAATAATTCCAAAACATAAAATTGTTGAGTTACACCGATGTGGTTAGGTGTGCTCGGCGCGAGACTGTTATAATACGTGATAATTAACGTTTTGCTCTTTTATGTTTTAATGTTCGGAGACATCTCCGCGTGCTTTGCTCGCGACCCGACACGTTTCAAAAGATTTATTGATTTGAATACAATGATTTGATATAAATAAACAATTATTAGCTGAGCCTAAATCAAAAATCTTCACACATCTTTCAAAAATATTAACACAATTTAATTATATTCTTGCTTGTAGGTATGTAGATGATTTGAATGTACTATGTGTGTATGATATGACTCAATTTTAAATGGGCTCTAAATCTTCACTGGATGAAAATAGGAACAAGTGTAGATGGAGCACCAAAGCTGCGGAATGGAGCGCCTAAAAGCCAACTCCTAGATGACCAAAACAACTAAGTCTGAGGATACCGCTGAGGATTCGAAGCAGCCCTTTAAATTGTAAATTTATAAAACAATAAACATTAATTCTGTTGGCATTTATCATTTTTAAATATACGATTTACACATTTAAAATTAAATGCCCAAACTACATAGTTTGTTGACGATAAATACCTACACTCTTTAAAGAATTGTACTTACTAAACTTATTTCCTTAATAATATATATAATGATATAAGATTTTGTTGATTTGTTTCGTTATAATCGTAAAATACATTAATATTTGGGGGAAAGGGAGTAAAGTGGACTAACTCTATGGCTAGAAATTAGTATTATTACAACTTATTATTATTGGTATTATTAACCATTATAAAAATAAACTAATATTGTAATACTTTAACATTAATCTAGTTAGTAGGTATAGCAAGATAATACCTGCCTAATCTAACTAATATTACTTAATAAGTAAGTTTGTTTGTTTATATGCTTTTCACCGAGTTCGTGACGCAGACTTAGCTTTCAAACGTCATTCTGGTAATTCTTAATTTCTACGATCTATAAATCAAGAATATAGCTCGAATAAAAAGAACAAAAGAGTTTGTCAACCGAAATTCAACATTTTTATAAATACTAATGAATATATTAAGGAATATTATTTATCTTAAATGTTTCACTGTTATACCAAATATAATAGTGAAATAATACTAATTAATGTAATATTTTTTACGAAACTGATTAATTATCTAATATCTATCATAGGCATACGCAGCTTCACACCGGAGTAGCAAGTAACATATTTTTCATGACATGGCGAAGCTTTAAAATATTTTGTTATTTTATATATATGTTAGTCCTAAGGTGGGGTCTTAATATATATATATATATTATAGGGGTATATTGCTATATAAGTAACATTAAGTTGCCTGAAGCAAAAAAAAATAAATAAAATACGTATATGCGTTACAATACATCTTGATAATCTGTCCTCTCCTGCTCCCTTTTGTGCACAATAGCGACGCTTCCAAAACTTTGATTACTTTTAAGAATAACAGACCAACTATTTATACCGAATTATATCTGTTTATACTAAATTGACAAGTCGTAATATTTCACTTGACCATGGAAAAGTATAAATCACATGAAGCGACACGTGCCAGGAGCCATCGGATAGCGTTTAAAGTAAAACTGAATGGACACAAGAAGGGCGTCAGGCGATCTCGTAATAGGACCTAAGGACCTATATGCACTGTCCATACGATACCAGTATGCGATCCAGTGAAAGAGACATTATAGCTAATGCTGAACGCTGTTATCAAACATTCTCTGACAATATACATTTTTTGC